GATGAGGGTGGTGTATGTACCAGGCTGTTAGACAAGCACAGTAGCTGCTCCATCTGGAGACTCTGCTGACTCTGGTACCTTTTGGGCATCATCCAAGACCTGGAACACTAATCAATACTCTGCACCAGGATGTGTCTACTCTCCCCAGCTAGTTGGCTGTCTCCAGCTCTGCAGAGCCCGACTGAATCCAGCTGGCTAATCTCTCTATGCGCTCAAGAACCCAGCAGAGGAAGAATGAACCCCACTCAAAAGAAAACACAACAGCCTACTATGCTGCACTAGGACTAGAAACTCCCTCCCCTTTAAGACAGAAAGGGGGGGGGGCATTTTGGCTGTTTAGCTCAGTTGGTTAGGACACAGTGTGTAACACCAAGGTCAAGGGTTTGGATCCCTGTACCAGCCAGCTGCCAAAAACAAAAAACAAAACAAAAATTTAAAAAAACCCACATAATGGGAGGGCCCAGAGTAGCCTGCTACCTGTCCTATTCTACGCATCAATCTCTCCCTGACATTCACCCCCACCACTTCAGCAACCAGTTGTCCTGTGGATCACAGATGCCTTCGTGCCTGAGCCAACAGCAACACTGGAAGACCACATTTCCTGCCATATGCTCCTTCTTCTCTGGCCACAGGTGACTGGCCCTTGGGTGGACACCTGACCCCAGGGCAGCTAATCCACAACTGTGCTTAAATTAAAGGCTTTTATTTTCTATGTCTTTGCACATAACATTTTTTATTTATTTATTTATTTATTTATTTGTGGGCCTGAAGGATGTAGCTCAAATATTCCTGGCCATTGGGACTAGAGCTGGACCACGTCAGGCCAGTGCTATGACAAAGCAGTAACTGTGAGGTACGTGACAAAGTCAACATGTCCGCAGAGGAGAAGGGAGCAAACAGGCGAGGGATGCACAGATGTTGTGGATGAGAAAGCACTGGTTGGTCCTGCCTAAGCCCTCAAATGGCCCTCCCAGGGTCCAACTCCAATCTGAATCCATATGTGATTTTTTTTTTTTTTTAAATAATTCAAGTGGGTCTCTATGGTTTAAAGCAGTGCTCCTTAAACTTTAGTTTGCATAGGCATCACCTGAGGATGGTTCAGTAGGTATGGCGTGGGGGCCAGTACTCTGCATTTTCACAAGCTGATAGGGGATAACAAACTGCTGCAGGGGATACCAAACTGCTGCACTACAGATCAAAATTTGACTAACAAGGGCTTCTAACTAAAAGTACCGATCTAAAACACCCAGTAAGTTTGTTTACTGCTCTGCATTCTATTTCCACATAGATAAGACCTAGTGTGGAATGTGTGTACAGCCAGATTGTTAACATCACTTCAGGTCTGCAAGACCTAAAATACAGACAGGCTATCTTTGTCCAGAATCAAAACCTTAACATCCAGCCCTCACATCTCAATGTTTATATGAACTTCTGACCCCCTAAAAGTACACCGTTCATAGGTTGCTAATGGCCATAATTACTCTAAAAGATTTATGAATGCAATAACTTTTAGAGAAGTCTTCTCTCCAAAGGAAGGCATTCCCCAAACCATTGTAAATAACCCCAAAACATATCTGGCAAATCTGAAAGCAAGCTGTTTTCTGCAATGCATCTTGCAAAAACCCAACAACCACGTTAATTGCTTTAGGATCAAAAATATTTTTAATAAAGTTCCAAAAAATATTTTTAATAAACTTCCAAAAATATTTGAAAAGTCAGACCCATTTTTCACAGCATACACTAAAAATATATTGTTGATGAATTAGAATTAACCATAAGATAAAAATCAAACCATAAACCTACTGGAGGAAGATACAGGTGAATAGTTACCTGATCTGAGGTTGGGAAAGGCCTTTCTAGGGCTAAAAGGAAAAGAAGAAATCAAAACAGGATTGAAGGAGCTAATTACAATCTTAAAATTCTACACCTCAAAAGTACCATAAATAGCATTTAGAAACAAAGTGAGGAAAATGCATGCCACAAATAAAGCACAGGACTAATAAAATGTCATTCAGATACATAAGAAAAGAACTAAAATCCTAATAACGAAAAAAGAGCATAGAATATGAGACGAGGGTGGGGCAGGTCTACCCAAGGGGCTCAAGGTGATCTCTAGAGTGCATGGGAAAAAAAATAACTTTTTTTTTTCTTTTTTAAAAGATGACCTGTAAAGGGATCTTAACCCTTGGACTTGGTGTTGTCAGCACCACGCTCTCCCAAGTGAGCTAACCGGCCATCCCTATATATGGATCTGATCCCGTGGCCTTGGTGTTCTCAGCACCACAGTCTCCCAAGTGAGCCATGGACCAGCCCTCAGAACTATTTTTTAATCTATCCTTTAAGAATCTTCTATTTGGGGTTATTTTTTATAATTTAAATATAGTAGCAAAATACTGCATATCTGAATATGTATTATGGAGAGCGAATTTCTTTCTGATAGGGTACAAGATCAAAAGTTTAGAGATAATACAGAATAAATACTAATGAACTAAAAGTTTAGCCTTCCCACTGAACAAAAAAATGCAAAATGCTAAAATGACAGGAAAACATTGTCTCCTATGAAATTAGTAAAGCTGTTTTCTAGTCTTAGTGATTATTGTTGATCAGGATGCAATGTGACAGAATACCTCAAACCCTGCCAATAAAAATATTAATGAGTAAAATCTTTCTGAAAAGTGATTTGGAAAAATGTGTCAAAAAGCTTAAAGACATTAAGCCTTTTGGATTAGAACTGCCAGGTTTAAAAAACAGCATGGGGCATACTTATTAAATATTACTCACTGCTTATCTAAAATCACATTTAACTGGGTACCCTATATTTTTTCTGGCAACCTACTTGAACTCTATAATTCTACTTTTAGAAAATATCTAGAGATAAGAGAGTGTGGTGCTGATAACACCAAGGCCACGGGATCAGATCCATATATAGGGATGGCCGGTTAGCTCACTTGGGAGAGCGTGGTGCTGACAACACCAAGTCAAGGGTTAAGATCCCCTTACCGGTCATCTTTAAAAAAAAAAAAAGAAAGAAAGAAAGAAACGAAAAGAAAAGAAAATATCTAGAGATAAGGACAAATATTTCTGGGCAAAGATATTCACTGCAGCAATGCGATATATTAATGAAATATTAAAAATCACCTAAAGTCAATATTAGAGAAATGGTCACATAAATTAATGTGCATCTGTACAAGATGACTAAGGAACATCCATATTCATTGTCAACTGTACAGTGAAGAGTAAAAACCAGCCATTTTCTGTACTATGGGCAGATTGGACTTTTGTGGGGGAAGACACGTCAGTGAATCTTTTAGTGATATGACGGTAAGGACCCGAGCAGAGCTGAGAGGGAGCAAATAAAGCTCCGCGCCCTAATGAAAGGGTTCATGGACGATAGCGAAGGCTCTTACAAAAACCCTTGTGATTACATTGGGCCCACCTGGTTAATCCAGGCTGCTCTCCCTATTTTAAGATCAGCTGATTTGCAACCTTAATTCCATCTGTAACCTTTCTTCTTGCAGTGTAAGGTAACATTCATAAATTCTGGTGATTAGTGCACAGACATCTTTGGGGGGCCATTCTTCTACCTACCAAACTGTGTAATAAGTATATTACACAGAACACCAGGCAGGCAGCCTATGTAACAAAAATATCAAATACCACATATAATGAATTATTTAGTGTTCAGAAGAAGGCATGTGGATAAGACTATTGACGGAGGCCTCTGGAACAGAAAGTAGGCTGGGACATAGCCTGTCTAATCACAAATGACATGGCCTCTAGACAAGAGTGTCTCAACCTCTTTGGTCTGTGGTGTCTAACATCAACTCCTCCCTCTCAGTTTAATGCTCTTGTTCCTGCCCTCCCACCTCTATGCATACTTTCCAATTTTGAAACAGTCTGCAAAACTCTAGTATCCAGTCTTCATCCTCAAACTCAGCCCCTGTAATCACACACTTCCTTCCTCTGACTTTCTTGTATCCTCTCTGCAGCCCTCAAATGGTTGCATTTTAGATCATCTTCTCAATGAGCCATTCCCAGATATTACTAGTCTCTTAAAGTTGACCTGTTGGTCTCCACGGGGAAGATAACATATTTATGGCTTTGGTTACTATAGAGCTCTTTTACCTACCTATAATCCTGCTGACTGGGCCAATTGTCATGCTAGGGCTGGGTCTGAAGCTCACAGATCCCTCAAGCCCATTCACAGACTGGGTCACAAACCCTTCACACACCAGGCTGGGTCACCAGACCCCTCACACACAGGTCTATGAGCTAGGTAAACAGCAAAAAGGTCCTTGGAAGCCATAGGTTCAAGAGCATGGCTGTGCGGGCGGACACCCGAGGCAGTCAACACCAGCCAAGTTGCAGCTCTGTGCATGTGCACTAACTCCACCCACACACAACTTATTTACAAAGAATGTGCCGCACCACCCCCAACTGGACCTAAGGCAAGGGAGCCTGATTAAATTATTCTATTTTCCCAACAGCTACCCATCTGCTTCGCCTAGAGACTAGCAGGTCTGTGGGTCTGATCTAGAAAGAGCAGGAGAAGGAGGTTAGCAAATCCGCATTCCACCCTAGGGACAGGAAGTAGTTCTAGGGCAAGGAGTAGAGGCAGAAGTAAAGACATGAATGAGGTAACTGAGCTCTAGTTTGTGGTAAGAAAGAAGGGGTAGTGGGATCCAGCTAAGGGTAGAAACTCCAGCCAGGGATTATGACTCAGTAAGTAGTACATGTAATCCCGGCATGGGGTTGGGGACTTCCATGTTTGCCCTTCTCTGGCCCAGAATTTCCTCCTCTCAGGAGAGAGCAGCTGTGAAGTACAAGAAGGGACAGTGTACAGTTTAAGTTGCTTGACTGGGCTCTACACTCCTGCTGGGAAGGACCACCCAGTAGGGGTTGACCAAAGCCAGATGGGAAGCAAGAAAAGGCTGCAATGTGTACAAATGCATCAACAGCCCTGGCCCGTTGTTCCCCAGTCAGGTCATGGGCCTACTCACCATGCTGTCCTCAAACCACTCCTTTATGTAGGCAGCTGTTGGGCCTGGGATCTGGCTCAGGAGGGCTGCTCTCTCCTGAGGAAGTTCCAGCATCTCCAGGGCCAGCCTCAAGTCCTCGATGAGATGGAGCACTGGGAAGGGGTTCACGTAGGAGGCCGGAGAAGACAGTCCAGGTTCACAAGTACCATCACTTATATCTGCACCTGTTTTAGCTCCTGGAACAAGAGAAAGAGAGCCAGGAACCTCGGTAAGAAGGGTGGACTTGAGCAATGACCTGGGAAAGAGCAAAGGTAGTGAAAGGAGAGAGGAAAGGAACAGATGAGAAGTCTGAAGGGCCACTTCTGCCTTTGCAGAATCACTCACAATGTAACCTTTGCAGAAATGATCTTTATCTAATCCTGGGGTGGGTAGGAAGAGACATATCAGAGGTGGGTGGCTGTGTCCACTGAGATTGACATGCAAAGCTCACATAGGTAGACACTGGGGAAACACAGCCAGCCCTCCACAGTGACCAAAACCATGCTTGTTATGACAATGAGATCCTATTCTTCAGCTTTTACATGATAAATTTGTTTTCAGGTAATGCAGTAGATTACACAGATGGCCACCAAGCATTCCTCCCATTCCTGTATGTGCATTCCTCTCCTCTCATCAGACAGCAAGTGGATCTTGACTTGGGCTGGCCTGGTGATTCGCTCTGACCAAGAGAACGCACTGGAAGTGGCTCTGTGCCAGTTCTGGGCCTGCTGGCTTCCACTTTTCCTCTGTGACCCTAAACCACCATGTAACAAAGCCCAGTTACTGTTCTAGAGAGACAGCTTCAACTGTCCCAGCCATCCCAGCTGTGGTGACAGACACATGAAGGAAGCCATTTCATATCCTCCGGCCCCAGATGAGCAGCCCTGGCAGATCCCACCAGAACAGAGATGAGACATCCCTGCCGAGCACTACCCAAATCACAGAATTAGAAAGAAATAAATGGTGGTGGCTGTTTTAAGACACTGTGTTTGGGTTAGTTTATTACATAGCAATAGACAATTATTACAGTATTCATTTTGGTGAGGGTTTAGTGGACTGGAGTCTTTCTGGACCTTCCCAGTTGTGAGAGTTCTATATCCCCTTATATGCTTAGGCTTTTAAACTTGTATTAATTATTATGTACCTCATCTCCCCACTATGTGCCATGAAGTATCTGATAGCAGAGTTCACGTCATATTTACCTGAGATCCCAGCATCATGGCCTCTGCCAAGCAGACGTTGAAGAGGAATCTGACTGAATGCCTGCACATACACTTGAATAGCTAAAAAGAAAGAGTGCTTAGATTTCCTTAGAGACCTGGGATATTGGGTCAGCTCCTTCTAATTTGATGTGCCCCAAATGGGACTGATTTTGCCTTTCTGAACCCCATCATTTAAAAACGAAAAAAGTCTTCTTTACATAAGTACAGTGATATATTTTTCAAACCCAAACTGGGGCAACACAGTCTAACAAAGGACTTCTTGTGCTTTAAGAAATATGGTTTAGACAGTGAATTTCTAGGGCATTTGGATTATTTATAAGGCAAACAGGATAAAATATTTGAAATCAGGACTCTGCTGGAAAATGTGAGCTATGGAGCCACCACGTCCTTGGGTATACTGCAGGCCGGACATCTAATTCCAGGCCCCTGTCCTCTTCTGAGAGCCAGCTTCCTACTTGCCAGGCAGTCTTGGGAATGAGAAATCCACACAGAAGGAAACAATTACCATTTGATTGCCAGTTTGCTTTCCGAAAATGCATGATAGAGGGAACATGGATCACTGTCCACAAACAAGTCAGTGGTTCTGGGAAGCTAGGAAACTGCCCAATAACCCACACTCTGTTGTGTGCTCAGCACTTTCTGGCTCCTACAAATTGAACTTAGAGTTGACGGGAAAGAGTCACAGCCAAACCTCAGGTAAGAACACAGACAGAAGTAGACCAAGACCTCCAGTATCCAAACAATTGTTGAGTAATCCCTCTTCGTTCTGGATACACTCTAATTTCAAACAGATCCATTCAGTTTCATTTTATATAATTTTATTAATGCAGATAAGTCAGGTTAGAAGTCAGGGTGAAAAGACCAAGGTTTTCATTAACTTTATATCACCTTGTGGCCTTAGAGAAGTCTCTTCCTCTCTCTGGGACCCTCCCTGACCTAAAGCTTTGGGATTCTTCCCTACTATTAGTGTATCTGTGTCTATTTTTGTAGATGTGTGTGTATACATAATAGACTTTAATTTCTATTTCTTTGCAATTTATATTTCTTTTACTACTTTATCAAAATCAATACGCAATAAATGCTAGATGAGAGAAGTGAAAAATTAATATACAAGTGATCATTTGCCCCCAAGCTAGTTGTAATGGCAGTGACAACAAGGTCTCAGATGATAAGCTCCACTTGATTTTAAATCTAAGAATTGAATATAGTCATACTGAAGTAAGAAGAAACTTCCAAAGCTACCTTTGGGCTTGGGGATGTAAATGATAAAGTGATACTGAATAGGAAGGCATCTATACAAGGGACACAGAATGATTCTAAATTTCCTCTCCTCGAGAAAGAGTGTGGTAACCAGCCAACAAGAGGCCCCCAATGATCCCTGACTCTTGATATTCATATTCTTACATAGTCCTCTCCCACATTGTATCAAGGTTATTCTGTGTGACCAGTAGAAAATGGCAGAAGTGATGGAATGTCACTTCTAAGGCTAGGTCATAAAAGACACAGTGACTTCTGCCTTGTTTTCCCTTGCAGATCACTTGCTCTGAGGGAAGCCAGCTGCCACGTTATAAAGTCACTCCATCATCCCTATGGAAAAGTCCATGTGGTTAGGCTCTATAGCCACCTGCTTGTTTTCCCTTGCAGATCACTTGCTCTGAGGGAAGCCAGCTGCCACATTATAAAGTCACTCCATCATCCCTATGGAAAAGTCCATGTGGTTAGGCTCTATAGCCACCTGTCAACAGCCATCAAGGACCTGAGCCCTTCTACCAAAAGCCATGTGAGTAAGCCATCCTGTGAGGAAACAGATCCTCCAGCCCCAGTCAAGCCTTCAGATGACTGTAGTCCCAGATGATGTGTTAACTGTAACCTCATGAAAGACCCTGAACCAGAACCACCCAACCACTTCTGCATTCCTGGCCCAAAGAAACTGAGTGATAATAAATGTTTGCTATTTTAAGGGGCCGGCCCAGTGGCGCACTGCTACAGTGCGCCACTTGGGATGGCGCTCCCGCCGAGGGTTCGGATCCCACATACAGACCGGTTCCCGCTCACTGGCTGAGCGAGGTGCGGGCGCAACACCGAGGGTTGCGATCCCGTTGCCGGTCCCGGTCCGGTACGGGCACGACACTGAGGGCTGCGATCTGTTGCCGGACACGAAAAAAGACAAAAAGGAAAAAAACAAACAAACAAAAAATGCTATGTTTTGGGTAATTTATTACACAGTAAAATAATCAATACAAATAGCTAAGAACATACTGAGAAGCATAATTAAATGGAACTTGACCATACACTACTAAAATATGTTCCTAAAATTACTCATACAGAAAAAAAGATCTTTATTTTACACCATACACAAAAATAAGATAAAGATTATACATAAAAAAATAAATAAATAAACTAGGGCCGGCCCATGGCTCACTTGGGAGAGTGTAGTGCTGATAACACCAAGGCCATGGGTTTGGATCCCTATATAGGGATGGCCAGTTAGCTCACTTGGGAGAGCGTGGCGCTGACAACACCAAGTCAAGGGTTAAGATCCCCTTACCGATCATCTTTAAAAAAAATAAATAAATAAATAAACATAAAAAAGGTAGATCAAACTAGAGTTAGAGAAAAATTTCATAGGCACAAGAGCAATTGAACAAGACATGAGAGAATGATAAATCTGACCATATAAAATTAACTTCTGGAATATTAAAAAACAAAATAAAAACTTAAAGACATTATAGCCTGAAAAACCTATTTGTAACAATTATAACAAAAGATAGGTATATCCTGGGCCGGCCCGGTGGCGCACTGTAGCAGTGCGCTGCTTGGGAGCGTGGCGGCGCTCCCGCCGAGGGTTCGGATCCCACATGCAGACCGGTTCCCGCTCACTGGCTGAGCGAGGTGCGGGCACAGCACCGAGGGTTGCGATCCCGTTGCCAGTCCGGTCCGGTGCGGGCGCGACACTGAGGGTTGCGATCCGTTGCCGGACACGAAAAAAGACAAAAAGGAAAAAAAAAAAAAAAGATAGGTATATCCTTCATATAAATCAATAAGAGAAGTGCCTTATATATCAATAAGGAAAGTGCCCAACCTACTTCTCTCACAAAAATAGGTATAAGGTTTTTATATTAGCAATTCTGGAACAGAAAAACACAGGTAAAAAATAAAAATATGGGAAGAAAATGTGTTCTCACTAGTAAATAGAACATTTTTAAATGATGTTCAGTTTTTCACCTGTGAAATTACTGAAGTTGAAAATATAATAATATTCCATGTTGGCAGGCAGTATGAAGAGTACCCTCACATGCTGTTAATAGACACAAAAGTTGGCCCAATCTTTCTGAAAAGCATTGTAGCAAGATACAGTAAAAATATTCATACTTTTGACCTACCAATTCCAATTCTAGAAATGTAACCTAAGGAAATATAATCAGACATGTAGTCAAAGATTAATATACAAGAATGATCTCAGCAGTGGACTAATTGTGAAAAAATAGGGAAAAATGCCCCCAAATAGGTAAATGTTTAAATACCTTCTGGGACATTCAAAGAATATAATTCACATAGCTATATAAAAAACAATCATCCAAAGAATCAGTAACATGGAGAAATACTTGCCTTATACTATTAAGTAAAAAGAAAATATGAATTAAGAAATACATATACATGTGCATATACAAGTATAAACAAACATACACAGAGAATACAAAAATGTTGATAATTATTAATTTTCATTACTTTTATAATCATTTTAAACTTTAAATTTGTTGTATATGAAAAAAAAAAAGCTGCCTGCACAGTGCCCAGGTGCAGACCGGGCACACTCTGGGGGCATGGGAGCGGGCCCAGTGCCACAGACTGTGTGGGCTTGAGGAGCAGGTGTCTGCGCTGAAGGGACAGTTGAGGAGCTTTGAAGGAGCTCAGCAACCTTCTCCCCACCCTCCAGCCCCCCAGAGAAATTAGCCTTTTCCCAGCCAGCATCC